GCTGGAGGAGCTGTTCCAATCTTTGACTTCATAAGATCCTTCAGTTTCTCATTATCTGCGTAGATCCCTGTAAGTTGGAGAATGTTATGGCTTATTTATGAATAATAAATATTCAACGATCATGGAACACATGCATCAAATGCATTGCTACTGAGGTATATATGTTAACATCTATTTTATTATCTTAAAGATGCATTTTTTATGATATAGCAGAGAGTATATATATAATACTTACCAAAGGCATAAACCTTGATTCCCATGCCAAGTATAGACCTCCTCCTAACACCAACACAATTCAGCTGCAGCTTCCCATCATCCAATTTAACTGGAAAAGGAACTTCAGTGTTAGGTTCAACCTCAACTGCCACCTCCTCCTTTGCCATCTCAGGCTTCGTGCTAGTTGCCATTTTTCCCCAGTTGAATTATATGGAGGAGTGAATTGTTGGGTATGTTGATGACCGAAACGGGGATTACATAGGTTTATATAGGTAGTTAAGGTAGGAGAGACCTAAGCATGTTTAGGTTAGCTTGTAAGAATTTTTATTTTTTTTCTTTATATACAGTTTATGAATGATAAGTTTAAGTTTTTATTGAAAGAAAATTTTAAAAGTTATTTTTAAAAATAAAAAAAAAGTGAGTAAAAAAAAATTTATGAAAAACAAAATTTTAAAACTTTTGAGTTTTTATTGTTTATAATTTTTTTAAGGTAAAAAAAATTTAAAAATATAAGTTTTTTTTTAAAAAAAATTTAACTTATGAAATTTGAATAATGTTAAAAAATCAAAATAATTGAAAACTGAACCAAACATGTTGTGAATGTTTATCCATATTTTTTGTGTTTTATTGCCTTGGTCATTTAATTTTGGTGCACCCACGTGTGTTTCCCACATGGGCTGTTTTCTCTCATTTTCTTTACAAATTATTATACAGAATCGAACTTATCAAGAGTTCTATATTGTTACTCCTGTGGAAATGCAATGGTGATTTGTCTCACATTTCTGATTTTCATCTCGGATCCTTTTTTGACCTTTCACTGTGGG